TTGAAAGTTCTCTTTGTGCTCGTCATATTAAAGCAGAGGGGTTGTCATGAGCGTGTCCTTGAAACTTGAGTTCCAAGTGGCGTATACAACAGATTGTTTATTTACATCAAAACATGTGTTCTGTGTAGTAGTAATATGGCCAAAAATAAAAACAGCCGTTATTCGGCCATCTTTGATCTGATTATGAAACACAGAATGATATGTATGATGTATGTGCCAAATACGAATGAAAATGGTACATAAATTGTGGAAATATAGTAGTAAAGCCAAAAAGTCAGATGGCTGTCAATCAGCCATCCTTGACCAGATTTTGAAACAAATTGTCATGGACATGCATCCTAACATATATAAAGTACATGTATTTGCCAAATTTGAATGAAAACTGACAGAGCACGTCCAAGATACCGCATAAAAAAACAAAACAAGATGCCTGCCAGTCGACCATTTTTGATCCAATTGTAAAATAAATCGTCATGGACATGTATCCTAACATGTATAATCTATGTACAAAGTTTAAATGACAACTGACAAAGCATGTCCAAAATACAACATTTTCAAAAAACAAGATGGCTGCCAGTCGGCCATTTTGAATCGCTAAACCACTGCATGTGCATATGTCCCACATAAGGTACTAGGCACATGCAAAGAATGAACGGAATCGGTCAACGGGATTCTGAAATATGACTCTGAACAGACTGACGCACTGACGAACGGTCACACGAACAGACAGACTCAGGAACTCACGGACAGTCAGGGTCATGTATCCTAACATGTATGATCTATGTACTAAATTTGAATGAAAACTGACAAAGCATGTTCAAAATACAATATTTTCAAAAAACAAGATGCCTGCCAGTCGGCCATCTTTGATCCAATTGTGAAATAAATCGTCATAGACATGTATCCTAACATGTATAATCTATGTACCAAGTTTGAATGAAAACTGACAAAGCATGTCAACATTTACAAATACAACATTTTCAAAAAACAAGATGGCTGCCAGTTGGCCATTTTGAATCGAATCGCTAAAATCACTGCATGTGCATATGTCCCACATAAAGTACTAGGCACATGCAAAGAATGAATGAAATCGGTCCAAGGGATTTTGAGATATGACTCCGAACGGACGGACGCACAGACGTACGGACGGACGGGGACCAAATTATAAGTCCCCGTTTTCGGACTTTGTCCGAACGGGGACTAAAAAGAGAAAACTAAACTAATGTACATATAAAGAACATTGGAATTACATATAAAGAGCACTAAAGCTGCATTTAAAGAAAACTAGTCTAGAGTAACATCTGACAAGTGCATTATAATATACATGTTTTGTACAATATAATTGTTACCTTTAAGGGTTCAGCTACTTGGTATATTTTAGACATGTCTTCATCTGTGAGTTTCATAACTGTATCCTTCGAAATGGTCTGTTATAATAATTTGAAACTTATTAAACAATCATATACAAACTAAATGTTAATGCAAAACTTATGGGCAGTACAGTTACCAGGGGTAGGTATTAATTTAAAAACATAGTTGAACTACAAATGGCTTGTAAGGGTGAGCAGACGATAGCATAGGGTGGGGATATCATAACATAGATGAGGCAGATCTCATCATGATGATGAGATGGACTACTAAGGATAGGGAAGATCACTGC